CACGCGGGTACACGCACGTGCACGCGGGTACACGCACGTACCCCCTTCCTTTTCTTTTTCCCATTTCCTATTTAGACTTTTAAAATAGGAAATTGCTCAGAAACCCATTTCCCATTTCCTATTTAGACTTTTAAAATAGGAAACGGATCAGAAACCCATTTCCCATTTCCTATTTAGACTCTTAAAATAAGAAACACATCGGAACCCCATTTCCTATTTTCTATTTTTATTTTAAAAATAGGAAATACTAATAGGTCAGAAACCCATTCCTATTTGCAACGTCATATGGGAAAACAAACTAGCACTAACAGTAACAGTAGGGGGCCTAACGTCAGTAACGGTATGTACCGTGATTCTAGCGCCCAGTGAAACTCGTTTCACTGTGAGATTACTAACCGACAAGAGAGGAACAACGTATAAAAACATGACCGAAATAGTGTGAAATGATACTCCTATACTAACTCATTAATCCGAGATAAGAATGCTATCAATTCGTTGTTTATGTTACCTGCAAGAAGAAACCTTAACTTTCCTAAGGGGGCAGACATCTTGGAAATTCCCGAATTTCAATCCCATAAGCCATTGCTAAAAGGGACTGATCTATTTCGAAAGGAGTGATGTTGGAATACGCAAAAATGCCATGTCTTAGTTTACCGCAAATAAATTTACATATTTACAAATACAAACATATGTATACCTAAACAATATTTAAAAATAGGCTATTACGTACACTGATGCAAGAAATTCTTGCCTATTGCAATAGCGTTATTACGCATTTCAACCTGCCACCCCTGCGATAATGCGTATGTCCGCCCTTCGCCACGGCCATGCTCGTGATTGCCGGTTTTTGAGAGACATCACGATGTGGAAAGCTGGCAGTGAAATACATGTCAGACTGAGGGTATGTTATCGTTACTCATGATATCCTCATCCTTATTTATCCTTCCAAGCCAAGCGCTATCCGTTAAGAGATGTAGTGTAGCCAAATTGCCTTGCATTATAACTAAAAATAAAATACCAGTGACACACATACTCATACTGCCTCACGTATTACGTAAGCTAGCCTACACGTCAACACTCACTGGACACTGCAAACTGTACACTGCAAAGATTGTTTAGACTATTAGTCTTAGAGTGAGGTAATAACAAATATTGCACAATCACAGTGGGACCCCAGCCCTCATTCATAAATATGCTAAACTAATCAGTGGTGCAAAACTAGGATTGTGCCGATTATATTTGCATTTACCAATAACGCAGTGCCAATCGATGGGGTTACGGAAACATTGGTCGATAAATTGATATATTTATTTCGCACAATTTGATTACTGTAATTGTATGTTTAATTGCATACCGAGTGCATGTCTTTTGCCTATGCTAACAAATCGGCTTGGTATGAAATACACCCGGTTTGCATCGAAATGCTAATGTCAACTTATTCAATGTAGGTCGGACAATGCCGATATCAGGCTGCGAGGCTCACATCTACCCAGCCTGCTGCGACCCCAAAACAACCAGAGGGAGGCCCAGCTAAGCCTGCAGCTTCTGGTACAGGCCCGAAAGCACCTCCTCCTCCTCCACCCCCGCCCCCAAGACGGTAGGTCATCTATAGGTAATATTAATGAAAGAAAATATATCGATCTTAAAAATGTAAAACTTCCAGACTGTTAAAATATGCCCTCCGTGAAAATGCAGATTCTTGGTGTTGATGTAAATTTTTCCTATTGAGAATGTGGATTTTCTTAGTGAGTTGTATCAAATGGTCTGGAAGTTCTAAATTTTTAGTAGTGATATATTTTTGGTAATAATATCCCGTATATCTTTGTGGGATCTAGAATGTCCATGTTAACCTTACTGTTGTTAACTTTGGGTATTGTTCTATAGAATTCTCATGGATAACATACTATAATTTTTTATATTTAAAAATGTTTTTATTATATTATATATTTAATAATGTTGTAAGCTTATATCAAAAGGCTGTTATTAAATCAGTGTTGCTGTGTAACTTTATTGAATATATCCCTTTGTATGCAGAGGATGGGGTGGCACAGTTTTCAAACTGTTTGGCGTGACACTGGTTGGCATGGGAGGAGTCGTTGGATATGCCTGGCATGACCCCAAGTTCAGGAGTGAGCTGGAGAACAATGTTCCTTACTCCAAGGAAGCACTCAGCCAAATTCTGAGCCAGCTTGGTTTAGAGGAAGACTCTTCAGGGTATGTATTACCTAGAGCTCTAATATATATATACTTAACACACAGTCGCCTAACGACGGCTGTTCTGGAATCATATTTTACTTTATATCATGGCTTTATTAATCTTGTCCAACTTTTGAAACTTATTACCTCGTGGAGTCATTATTACGTCATAAAAAACATTTGTACTATGTTTATGCATTGCACAGTATCAGTTGTGACAAGATTCAGGCAATGATATTTCCAAAACTGTTGTTAAATATATCATTGCTGGTTTCCTATATTGCAGTGCACAGCAAGCCTCAAGTAGCAAGGCCCTGGATGTCCTGCCCAGCTTCGCCAAGAAGTCTCTACCTGATGTAAGATTGAATGTCACAAGTTGAATCACGTTAAAGTGTCCTTAGTTCTACCATGCTTTAAATGCGAATAATTAACATTCAGATTTACTTTTAAACAATTTCAATTGTTTAGTATAACATAAAGCATTTAGCTTCTAAAAATAGGTAGATGTCCGTTTGGATGATGTTCTTCGATTTCGAAATGCAGGATTTGGGGATTAGTTTGGGATTGTCGCTATTGTAATTTTGTGTTGTTCGATGCATATATGTTGTGTGTGTCTGTACTTCATCACTACATTATCAGGCTGTTCTTTTTTCTTACAGGCGTCGGGCTCAGTTCCTGCTGGTAAGTCACAAGGTACAGGGTGCTTTTCTCTGTTGGCACAACACTGAAAACATTGTCAAGTTTGATGTATAGCCATTCTTACACTGTAACTCTACCATCTCCTAGGGGAACAGTGCTGTGCACTGATAGTGACCCTGATTAGAAATGTCCGAGAATAGCTCCTGGTGATAAAAGAAGCAGGTGAGAAGCAGCTGAGGCAGTTGTCATGAGCTACGCATCGTCTGCTGTTGTAGTGGCCGTGCAAGCCACTCGCGAGGACGCAGCTAAATCGGACATGGAGAAGAAGCGTAAGTGGGAAGAGGAGCAAATCACTCGGAAGCTGGCCGAGAGGGAAGCGGAGATTGCTGCGGAAAATGCAGGTATGTCAGTGAGTACTGGAGTAGGTTTCAGCTGCAAAATCTTCTTCCTCTTTCCAATTTTTGCCGGCAGAGGAGGGACAGCATGAAAGAAATTGCGCAGTGGTGCTAAAATTCTTGTTAAAGGAGTAGCCAGTGAATTATAAGTGAATGTTCATAACTACCATTACATAGGTTGCTGATTGTTCACGAGAACTAATTGCATATCTATGTGGTGTACATGAGAATCATTTAAAACGATTGTAATGATGACACGTTAAAAACAAACGACCGCAAACACCAAATTTCGCGACACCGGTGTTAGGAAGTCCATGGTTTGGCCAGCAGCACCTGCCTTTACAAGTAGCCTCTGTTGTAATTTGTGTATACTGCGTTCATATTCAAGTAAAAATCTGACTTGGTGGTCGCATAGCGTGAAACATCCACACTCCGTGCTCGTATCTGTAATGTGTGTATACCGTATTTATATACACGTAAAAATGTTGACACTTAGTCGCATGTTCACGTAAGGCCGAAGCGTCCGCACTCCGTGCGGTGTCTAGATTTTAGCCTGTCGTTGTTAACGAGGTAACGTGTTTCAGCGCTCGAGGTGATGGCTAACGAGCTCGTTGCTAAGAGCGAGAACGTGACAGACACGGCGATGGAGGCGCATCGCGTCGCTGCAGATGCTCTGAAGCAACACACCCAGCTGCTGAAGACTGCCATGGAGAGAACCAAGGTAAGATTATTATTATGATTGTTGTTATTCTTCTTATTATTGTTATTATTATTGTTAAATCTTTATTGCTTATATTATTATGATTATATATATATATATTATGACGCTCGATTGTGATTTTTAGGGAGCGGACAAGAACGCGCAGTGGCAGATGGTGACCTTTTCTGCGGAAGCTAAGGGTCAGGCCGTGAAGAGAGCTGACCTAGTCACGGAACAAGCCAGGTAACGCGTCGCCGCCTCCGCGTTCGGTTTGGGGACACCGAGAGTTTGTGCAGCGATGTGGCAATTGCGAGAAATATCAGCAAGGCGGCCCATCTTACTTATCGCACACTAGTGAAAACGCTGATCAGTGTTAGGCATGTAGAGTTTTAGGAGTGCAATATTAAACCGGAAAAACAAATGCACCGAGATTTCGTGCAGTGAGGTGGCAATTGCGAGAAATATCAACAAGGTGGCTCGCCTCGCTTATCGTATACCAGGGGAAATGCTCATATTATACATGAAAATATTTAGGGTAAGTAATATGATGATAGTAGTGTAGACAGAGAAGTAGGATAGATGAGTAATATTTCTTGTGCTGTGATTGTCTGTGGCCCCGTAAAGTCCGCTGACAAATCACGGCTGCACGGCTCGCTGGCTAATACGTTGCCGTGAAGTTTGCTGACGATTGTTGCACTGCTGCACGCAGGGTGATTCTTGGGAAGTTGAAGACGGTGCTGACTGAGGGGAAGCAGCATCGAGATACGGCTCGCAACCCTCACCTCATCCCAGCATCCGACTCTCTGTACAGGATGGAGCGACAGCTAAACGCAACCGAAGCAGAGGTGCGTGTGCATGTGCGTGTGGGAGTGTGCGTGCGTGCGTGCGTGCGTGCATGCATGTGCGTGTGCGTACATGCATCTGTGTGTTTGTGTCTGTGTGTGTGTGTGTGTGCGTGCGTGCGTGCATCTTAGTGTGTTTATAATGTTACGAATGTAGTGTGTTAGTGTTATGTTGTCCTGCAATATCATTGTCCTGAGTTGATGTGACACGTTAGTAGATCATGGCAGAAGCCAGGGAAGAGTGAAGATGTTTAAGGATGACTATTGTGTGTGTGCAGTTTGAAGCTGCGAGGACAGAATCTGCAATCATGGCCGAGTACAGGGACTTAGTGGAACAGGGCAGGAAGCAATTCCAGAAGGAACTGGATAGCATCTTACCTGATGTAAAGCCGGGCAGGAAAGGTGAGCCTAATAGCAGGGGTTAATAATGACAAATTATTATTAACCAATATGCGTTCGTGTTAGAAGCGTTACTATCGAGACGATTACTGAATTGATTATCGGAGCGGTGAAAGGATGAGTTCCGATGACGTTATTCCAAGAATGACGGAATTCCGAGCTGTTCGCGTTGGAATTTTGACACGTTTAGTATAAGCTACTAGGTAGGCCTATATACCCGTGCTGAAGAAATACCAATAAGCAGAGGCGAACACTTATCATTTTGTCTAATAACGTTTACGCAGAAGTAAATGAGCATTTTCAAGTTAAAACTGGCATTTTTAGATGTCAGAGCAAGACGTAGCAAATATTTTGGATTTTTAATGTGGAAATATTTTGAGAATGTGCGTAACTGTCACTGCTGGTTACCAAGTTAAAAACAACAATTTTAGATGTGACAGCTGGCAAGACGTTTGCAATAATTTTGGATTTATAACGTGGTTTCGACTGTGAGTGACTGTCGATGCTGGTTCACCTTGCAGGTAAGAAGTTGACGGAGGATGAGCTGAATTCATTGATTGCCCACGCCCACCTGCGCGTCGAACAGCTCCAGGGTCAACTGTTCGATCAACAGGTACCCGTCGTCTCACCCAAGCTTTGCTTGACGTAGATTTCTGCGTCAGCAAATTCCTTAGCAAGATTGTCACAGTACATTAACGAGTCTTGTTAGATCTTGAAGATTGTTGACAGCTTTTATTTGTAGCGTGACTTTGTTACTTATGTAGCATAAATGATCTAGATTCATTTTCTGTCAGTAGTACATAAGTGAAAAAGCTCAAAATTGTATATTAGCCCAAGGCCTATATACATACAACTAATAGGTTTGTATATAGGATGTTAAATAAAAGGCCGTGGCTACGCGTGCGGTTACCGGACGCCCAGCTCCCAAGCTACGCGTCCGGTCATATATTTCTCATCTGAACCCAACTATAATTTTCAGTAAAAAACGATAAGAAATAAGTTTTTACCATAATATTTCTTACCTTTAGGCATTTTCTCAAAAAAACAACGTTTAACTTCTAAGTTTTTGTAATTTTTGAAGCAATAGTAGTTCTAGTGAAATCAACAATTTGAAACGCGTGGCCTAATCGTAACGTGGATTTGGAAATCTGTGCTGAGCTTTTTAATGGATGACTGAACGCGTAGCCACTGTGTAAATAATAATGTAATCGCACATTTGTGTCTGCTGTAGGTGAGGCAGAGACACCTGATGGAGACTGCGGTGACTCACCAGAAACGCGACGACGCAACGATGTATAGTAAACAGCTAAGCCAAGAGATGGAAAAGAGAAACCAAGAATTTGAGGAGGAAAAGAAACGAATGGCAAGTGATACATCGAGAGAGAGAGAGAGAGAGAGAGAGAGAGAGAGAGAGAGAGAGAGAGAGAGAGAGAGAGAGAGCGAGAGCGAGAGCGAGAGCGAGAGCGAGAGAGAAAGAGAGTGAGTGAAAGTGTAAGGGGGGGGGGCATAGGCATTAAAAGTAAATAGCAGATAAAAAAATCGAATCGGTTGCTAAATACCAATGCGAGGGGATTGTTAGAAAGGTCAGTCATACGTGTGTTGATTTAGCATGAGCCTCACTGCCGGAATCTTCAGTTAGAATGCTTGCATTGTAGTCTTCGTATGTGGCTGCAAACTGCTGTATACTAGACACTTCGGGGGTTCTAGAAAAAATATCTCCAAGAATATATCATACGATCTCGCTTTGATGTAACGGTCAGTTGAATGTTTCCGTTGTCGTCTTCGTAGATGGTGGAAGCGAGGGTCGACTTTGAGGCGGAGCTTCGGCAGCAGCTGCGCCGCCAGGCGGCAGCACACAGCGATCACCTGACGGACGTGGTTCGCGTTCAACGGCGGGAGTTTGAGGAGCGATTCGATCGGCGGCTGGAGAAGGAGGTGGCGATGATCCGTGACGACATGCAGAGTGAGATGACGGCAGCAATGGCGCGCCTGCGCGG